ATCTCTGAAGCTATCAATAGTAGTTTTGTTTAAGTTTTCTTCTTTCTGCCTAATCATATGTTTGTCTAAATTTCTTCTTATGTTGTTTTGGTCTCTTTCATGTTAGATTCTTTTCTTCCTCAGTTGTCTGTTCATATTTGAGGATAAGTTACCAAAAAGCCTATTGGTAGCATTTGTGTTCTGTGGGCTCAGGTACATGGGTGGGACTTGTCAGCTACAAGCTTCAATGAAGGGAACCTCTGATGTCAGCATCTTTAGGACTCCCTTCTCAGGGTGGTGAGCAGTCTGGCACAACCAATACCATTTTGCATATGGTTACCCCACTGCTGCCTTAGGATCCATCCTTCTCTAGTCTAAGTCAGTAACTATTTATCCACATACTTTCCAGTTTCCTAAAGTATTTGGCTCTTATCTCCTGTCCTGTTTCCCGGTCCTTATGGATTTATGCCTTTACAAAATCCCTTGCTATAGTTTTAGTGTATTTTTAGTAGAGCAAAATTAAATACATGTTTTCAATCTACCATTTTTACCTAGAAACTTTAAATATATTTTAACTTTTTAAAACAGTAGTTCAAAAATATATACACTCAAATGTCCTACATATCAAAGTTTGGGGTTCATGAAACAGGCTTGTTGACGTTGGATGATTTTATAACAGAGCTATCATGAAGTAGAACTTATAAATGTATTCTAATAAGATACTGCTTTTAACTGTTTTAGATAGCAAGGTTCTACAAAAAGCTTTACTTGGAAAGGGGGTTGACTGTGTTTTTAAAAAAACTTTACGAACATCTCTCCTGGGCTAGTGATCACCGAAGTTTGGCCCTTGGACTGTGGTGAAGGTGTTGCTACTGGCCCAGAGATGCATGGGAGAGGAGTTTGGAAGAGGGAGCATCCTAGCCCCAAGGAAATGGGAATGAAAGTAGAGAAGACTCACCACCTGAAAAAAGAGGAAGGGTTCTTTTCTTTTTTTTAGGCAAGGCAACCCTTGGTTGACCTCACAGATTGCAAGGACCTTGTCATCTTACAATCTCTTATTTTTTATTTTTTATGCCTACAGCACCTGTCTTCTTAGGTGGTCTCCTATCCAAGTACTAACGAGGCCCAACCCTGCTTAGCTTCTGAGATCAGACTGGATCGGGCTTGTTCAGGGTGGCATGGCCGTAGACAGAAAGGGTTATTTTCTTACACCCTCCAATACTTTCTTGACTAACTTCCAGTCCCTTGCACTATCTGCGCATAATCCCTCCACAGTCATAGGCATTATAAAACATTACATTTTTAAAAATCAGCTTTATCAAGGTGTAGTTTACATATAATAAAATTCACCAATTTAAGTGTACAATACAGTGAATTTTCACAGATGTATACAGTTGTGACCACCACCATAATCATGACATAAAACATTTCCTTCACTCAGAAACTTCGTTTGCTCCCTTTTGCAGTCAGTCTCTTCCTCTTTGTCTGGCTCCTGGTATCTACTGATCTGCTTTCTATCATTATAGTTTTGCCTTTCTAGAATTTCATATAAATGGAATCAAACAGTTTGTAGTAGTTTGTGTCTGACTTCTTTCTCTTAGTATAATGCTTTTGAAATTATCCATGTTATTGCATGTATCAGTAATTCATTCCATTTTAATGTGAAGTAGTATATTTCATTGCGTGGACATACTACAATTTGTTTATCCATTCACCAGTCGATAGACATTTAGGTTGTTTACAAGTTTGTGCTGTAACAAATAGAATTGCTTATGAATATTTGTGTATAGGTCTTTGTGTGGACATATGTTTTCATTACTTAGGAGTGGGATCACTGGGTTGTATGGTAATGCATATTTAACTTTTTTAAAAAACTGCCATACTGTCTACGGCCATGCCATTCTGAACGTGCCCAATCTCATCTGATCTCAGAAGCTAAGCAGGGTTGGGCCTGTTTAGTACTTGGATAAGAGACCACCTCGGAATACCAGGTGCTGTAGGCATTTAAAAAAGAAATCTGAAAAAAACTGCCAAACTGTTTTCCAAAGCAGCTGTACCATTTTACAGTCTCACCAGTAATATATGAGGGTTTTATTTTCCCAATATCCTCCTCAACACTTGGTATTGTCACTTTTTATTTTCTAACTCTTCCTTGCCAGCTTGGCATCTCGTTATGGTTTTAACTTACATTTCCTTAAGAACTAATGATGTTGACAATCTTTTCATGTGTTTATTTACCATCTGTATATCTTCTTTAGTGATGTGTCTATTTAAATCTTCTACCCCTTTTAAAAACTGGATTATTTTTCTTTTTGTTATTGAGTTATAGTAGTTCTTTATATATTCTGGATACAAATCCTTTATGAAACATGTTTTGCAAACAATTTTTTTCAGTCGGGCTTCCATTTCATTTCTTTTTATGTCTATGTTTGTAAGGAATACTGGATTTTTATTTTTATAATATCTTTGTCTAGCTTTGGTAGCAAGGTCATGCTAATCCCATAAAATGAGAAGTGTTCCCTACCATGCAGTTTTCTGGAAAGGTTTGTATAGAATTGTATTGTATTATTTTTAATTTAAATGTTTGGCAAAATTCACCAATTAAGCCATCTGGGGCTGGAGTTTTCTTTGAGGGAAAAACTTTTAATTACAAATCCAATTTCTTTAATAGATATAGGGCTTGTTAGGTTTTCTCTTCTTTAGTGAGCTTTGATACATTGTCTTTTAAGGAATTTGTCCACTTCATCCAATTTACCAACTTATTGACAAAGTTTTTTTCATAATATTCCCTTATTATTCTCACTGCAGTCGGTAGTGATGACTCCTATCTCATTACTATTGTTGATAATTTGTGTCTTCTTTTTGTTTTTCTTGGTAAAATTTGGCTAGAGTTTTGTCAATTTTATTAATCTTTTCAAAGAACCAAGTTTTGATTGCATTGACTTCCTGGTTTTTTTTTGTTTGTTTTATATTTTATTGATTTCTACTCTTATCCTTATTATTTCCTTCTGCTTAGTTTCAGTTTCTATTCTAACTTTTCTAAGTTTTTCTTCTTTAGTAGCATCTCACAAATTTTGATATGTCATGTTTTCATTTTCACTCACCTCAAAATATTTCATAATTTTCCTTATGATTTTTTCTGTGACTCGTGGGCTATATAGAAGTATGTTTATTTTTATTTATTTATTTATTTTTTTAGAAGTATGTTTAATTTACAGATAGTTGGGAATTTCCCAGATCTCTCTCAATTATTGATTTATAGTTTAATTCCACTGTGCTCAGAGAACATATTATGTATGATTCTAATCTTAAGTTTACAGGTATTTGTTTTACAGCCCAGATTATTGTGCCATATGTATTTGGAAATGTGTCCTGCTATTTGTTGGGTGAGGTGTTCTATAAATGTCAATTGAACTGAGTTGGTTGATAGAGTTTTTCAAAACCTCTATATCCTTACTTATTTTCTTCTATTGATACCCAATTCCTGTAAGAAAGTGTTGCTATCTCTAACTGTAATTGTGGACTTATCCATTTATTCTTTCACTTCTGTAAGTTTTTTGCTTCATGTATTTTGAAGCTATGTTATTCAATGTTATTTATTGACACCTTTATCATTATGGAAAGTCCCTCCCTTTTGATCTTTGCTAATATATCTTATTCCAAAATCTGATATGAATATAACCACTCTAGCTTTGATTAGTATCAGTATGGTTTATCTCTTTCCTTCCTTTTATTTTTAACCTATGTGTGTCTTTTTATTTGAAGTTTCTTGTAGACAGAACATAGTTGAGTCTTGGGTTTTAATTGACTCTTACAATCTCTATCTTTTAATTGGCTGTTTAGGCATTTATGTGTAATCTAATTATCATATGATTGAGTTTAAAAGAAAGAGAAAGAGAGGTAGTGGGGAAGGAGAAAGGGAGGAAAAAAAGGAAAGGACCCTAGACTTGGAGTCAAGAAGCCAGGCTGAAGTCCTGGCTCTGTACCTCCCAGCCTGTAACTTTAGGAGTTAAAATCTCCTAACTCCTCTGAGCCATAACTAGCTTGCACATGTTTATAAGGATGAATGTTATTCATAAAGTATAACATGTGCTGAAATCGTTAAGAGATTAAAGGACCATCCTATGCCAGGTGTATAGATAGACAGGTATCCATAAACGAGGGTATGAGTACCTCAAAGAGAATCAGGTCTCACTTGTTTCTGTATTTCCAGCACCTAGTCCTATGCCTGGCACATAGAATGTTACCAGTAAGTGTTTGTTGAGTGAATGAGGCAATGAAAGAATTAACTTTGAGTGAGTGAATGATAGTATGTAAAAGACAGGTAGGTGTCAGATGACAAGTTATTAAGTGGCTATGGCACTGCTAAGAACTAAACTTACAATGTTTAATTCCTTATCTGTTAAATGGGACTACTTTTCAGTAGCATAGAAGAATAATTTGCACGTATGTATATGAAATTGTACTTACATATTCATTCATACAACAAGTGTTTATTAAATGCCTACTATGTGCTAGGTCCTGGGAATACAACAATATCCATTTTAACTATTTGTTTTAAAAAGGCCTCTTGCAATGATGATCACCTTCAGTAAATGAAAGAGTTGACTGAGCCTTGATATCTGGTGCAAATCCAAACACAGTCCCATTAATTACTGATTGGTTCTAATTTTTAAAAAGTTCTCACTGGGAAGAGAATTTTTTCTAATTGCTTTTTCCTATTTTTAGCCATTAACATTTCGTTTGGGAGCAAAATATTTAATGATTTTTGAAAAGCAACAGGTCAAGTTAATATATATTAGGTAATAGATAAAAGGCTAGATAATCAAGCAGATAGGTGACAGGGAGTCATTCTTCCAATCAAACTGATGATGTCACTGGAGAAAAGAAGGTCAGTTGGAACCCACTGTCTGGCAGTTACGGGGAGCTGTGACTAGTCGAAGGTACGCAGGAGCTGCCCCAGAGCCCTTAATCCCAAAGCGGCCAACATCACATGTCCAGGCTTGTGTTCTAGAGACACAAGACATCTTTGTGACTGATAGAGTGATCCAAAATGGAGAAAGACAAGCCTCCACAGTTGGTGACCCCCACATCAGTGACAGCTATCATCTCGAAGATTGAGGCTGCCCAGCTAACTCGAGCTCAGGAGGTAATCTCTGAGATGAGAAAGTTATCCTTCTATTGGGGTCTGATGTAGAGGCTGGGGGCTGATCCCAGATTTGGGAAAGATTCTACCTGTGGGCCCTTGGGGATCCTGGGATTCTCAACAAGCTGGGTTTGCAGACAGATTACTACAAAATATCCACCTCTTACACTTGGCCTCTGCAAGGCCGGCTGGAGTCAATCATGTCCCTCCCGCCAACCCCTTCCCAAGTCAGGGTTGGGCCCAGGAAGGGAACAGCCCATGGAAACCCCAGGATGGCCCAGAGACACATAGGGGTGGGTCCTAGCAGGGCAGGAGGTGGGGCCCAGAGCTCATGATTTGGGGTCTGTTCTTGGCAACCTTTCAGAATCCCTCAAGCGGAGCCCTAGGAGCTCAGGAAAATGGCCAAAGGCTGGAATCACCAGGCTCATGAACCTCTAGTGTATTTTTTTGTGGGAGACTCTGATCCTGAGGGTTTCTTAGGGCCTCATTTTTCCAGTCTGTTTCCTCAGGATCCTTGTGAGGAGAGATGTCCGAAAGGCCCCAGCAAATTCTGAAATTCTGAAGAAAGTTTTGCTATGGATTTTTAGTATTCTCTCCCTGACCTGGTCTTAATCATTAAAATGACAGTGATAAGAGCTACTTATTTTATGTGCTAGGCAGTGTCCTAAGTGCTTGAGAAATATTAATTCACTTAATCTTTACAAAAACCCTGTGACATTGATACTATAATGATCCCTATGTTACAAATAAGAAAACTGAGGCACCAAGACATTAAATGACTTGTCTAAGATCACACGACTAGGACATTTCATCTGGCTTCAGTGTTCACACCTCTAAACACTACAATCTGCTGTCTTTCCTGTAGGATATTTCTTCCCAGCTCTCAGACATTTTGGACAATGTCAACTGTGTCATTGACCGATTCCAGGAAGAATTAGGATATGATTTAAAAGAAAAGGCAAAATCTCACCAGCTGGAGCAGAAGGGCAAGAACAGATTCATCTTGCTGGAGAAAATAGCCTCCTTCTCCAAAGATGCTAAGACTAAAGAGAAGCATTTGTATGAGATTCTCCGCTGGCTGGGTGACTGGGGTGAGTCTGCAGGCTAGGTGCAGTCCTGAGGGCAGGTGTCTTCCCCAGGAGACACCACTAGTCCCAGCTCTTTCAGTCTCCTCCTTTCCCCACCCTAAGTCAGCGTTCTCTGGGAGGGGAGGGTGCCGAGGGAGCAAAAGACGTATCACAGTGTCTCTCCAGTGAAACATTCTCCCACTCATGTCATAACAGCAAACATGTAATTGTCTAAAACGTAACAGATTGAGACATTAGCTGCCACATGTGATGAAGCTTAAATCACAGGTCCATTATGATATCTCATTTTCTAGAAAGATGTGAACTAAATTCAAACCCACTCTAGTGAATTTATTTTCTTTTTAATTTTTTTACCTTTACTGAGATTTAATTGACAAATGACATTGTGTAAATTTAAAGTTACAATGTGATGATTCAATATACATGTTATGAAATGATTATCACAGTAAAGTTACTTAACACATCCATCATCACACAGTTACCCTTTTTTGTGATAAGAACATTTAAGATCTACTCTCTTAGCAAATTCCAAGTATACAATGTAGTATTGTTAACTACAGTCACCACGCTATACATTAGCTCCTCAGAACTTATTTATCCTACAATTGAATGTTTGTACCCTTTGACTAATGTCTCCCCATGTACCCCATTTCCCAGCCCCTGGTAACCACCAATCTATTCTCTGTTTCTCTTAGTTCAACTTTTTAGATTCTACGTATAAATGAGATCATACGGTATTTGTCTTTCTCTGTCAGACTTATTCCATTAGCCTAATACCCTGGAAGTCTATCCATGTTGTTACAAATGGCAAAATTTCCTTCTTTGTTATGACAACAGTATGTCATTGTATATACCACATTTAAATATTTTTAATTTTCAATTACAGTTGACGTTTAATATTGTATTAGTTTCAGGTGTACAGCATAGTGGTTAGACATTTATATAACTTATGAAGTGCCTGCCTCCGGTAAGTCTAGTTCCAACCTGACACCATACATAGTTATTACAATATTACTATCTTCCCTATGCTGTACTTTACATCCTCATGACTATTTTATAACTGCCAATTTGTACTTCTTAAGCCCTTCATCTTTTTCACCCAGGCTCCAATCCTCCTCCCATCTGGCAACCATCAGTTTGTTCTCTATTTTGTTTTTGTTTTTTAGATTCCACACATAAGTAAAGTCATATGGTATTTGTCTTTCCCTGACTTATTTCACACCCACTAGGTCCATCCATGTTGTCACAAATGACAAGATTTTATTCTTTTTTATGGCCAAGAAATATTCCGTTATACTACATTTTATATCCATTCATTGGTTGATTGACACTTAGGTTGTTTCCATGTCTTGGCTCTTATGAATAATGCTTCATTGAACGTGGCCATACAGATATCTCTTAAAGACAGTGATTTCATTTTTTTGGATGTATACCCAGAACTGGGGTTGCTGGATCATATAGTAATTCTATTTTTAATTTTTTGAGGAAACTTCGTGCTGTTTTCCAAAATGGTTGTGCCAATTTACAGTCTCACCAACAGTGCAGAAGGGTTCCCTTTTCTACAATCTTCATCAATAGTTATCTCTTTTTTTTCATAATAGCCATCCTAACAAGTATGAGGTAATTTCTCATTGTGGTTTTGATTTGCGTTTTCCTGATTAGTGATGCTGAACACCTTTTCATGTATTTTTTGGCCATTTATATGTTTTCTTTAGAAAAATGTCTATTCAGATCCTTTGCTCATTTTTAAATTGGATTGTTTTCTTGCTATTGTATGAGTTCCTTATATATTTTGGATCTTAACCCTTTATCAGACATATGGTTTGCAAGTATTTTCTCCTATTCTGTAAGTTACCTTTTCGTTTTGTTGATCATTTTTTTTTTTACTGCAGAAACTATTTAAATTTTAGAATTGTTTTTTTCTATTTCTATGAAAAATGCCATTGATATTGCACTGAATCTTTAGGTGGTTTTGAGTATGGACATTTAACAATATTAATTCTTCCAATCCATGAACATGTTGTATCTTTCCACTTAAATATGTCTTCAATTTCTTTCATCAATGTCTTACAGTTTTCAGTGTAAAGATCCTTCACTTCCCTGTCTAAATTTATTCTTAAGTATTCATTTGTTTTTGATGCTTTCATATATGGGATTGTTTTCCTTATTTCTTTTTCAGATAGTTCATTTTTAGCATATAGAAATGCAACTGACCTTTGTATGCTGATTTTGTGTCTTGCAATTCTACTGAATTTGTTAGTTCTAACAGTTTTTTGGTGGCACACATTAGCTATTTTAAGTGGAACCCAAGGGTAGTATTCACAGTACTGAATGACGCCTATTGCATGGGCACTGGGCCAAACAGCACTGATACTAGCTGTAAGAAACTGGTATAGCCATTTGGGTGTGGACCAGCTGTAAGTAGCCCTGGAGCCAGATGATACCTCTGATAAGATCAGAGTTATCTCATAACAAGACCTCAGTCTACTGTGAGCTATGATGGATGCTGCAATGTTGGAGGAAGGTGGCATAGAAATGTACCCCATCCCCCTCACACTGTCCTGCCCCTGACAAGCTCAGTTCAGTGATGCTTCAGCTGTCCCCAAGAACTAAGCAGGACTGTTGACTCCAGTTAAGTAGTTTAATTGTCCAGATATTGGACTAAGCAATGGAGATAGAGCGACAACAAGGCAGACACATCCCTGGCCTCATAGTATAACAATACTGTTTAATATCCGTTACATATTTTCTACATGGCAGGCTTCATGTTGATCATTTCACATGTATTATCTCATTTAATCCCAACCCAACCCTTTTACAAGCGAGGATGCTGAGGCGTAAGGGAATAAGCGACATGCCTGACATCACACAGCTAGTAAGAGGTAAAACCAGTCTGACCTCGAAGCCTGCTAGTATCACCCCTGTGCTATAGGGCTGCTTGGGGTTCCCTAGAGGATAGATGGTTCTCAGCCTAAACCTCTTACTCCCTCTCTAGGTGACAGTCTGACCTATGAGATCAGGAACAGGAAGAGTGAGGAAGAAGAAGAAGACCTGGATGAATGGATTGAGGTGATGGAGAAGGTGTTACCTCTGTCCCTCATCACCACCAAAGGAGGCATCGAGTCTCTCATTTCCCTTTGCTCCACTCTCATTGAAGGACAAAAGAAAAGGGCACAAAGTAGGTTCCAGCAACCTGTGAGGGGAATGGGGTACATTTCAGATGCCATCTCAGGGGAAGAAGTCACACATCAGAGTCCATGCGGGTCTTTCTGACTCTCCTTCATAACAAAAGCTTTATTTGAGATGGATTAGCAGTGGTGAGGGGTTGGAGAGTTGAACCCAAGCTGAGCACTAAGCAGTTCTGAGCTGTCCCTCAGGGCTGGAGGAAGGGTTGATGTGGAAATAGCTTCTTTTGGTGCTCCCTGGAGCTGTGGCCTCATGCAGGTTCTGAGGAACAAGGCTAGAAAGCCAGAAAGGCTGGAGTGTGTAGCTTGAGCCTGAGGAACATCCTTTCCTTACTCCAAACCCAGCCACAGAGCCAAAAGTCTGGTGAGACTCAGCCAACAGTTCCAGAACCTTCTCGATTTTGGCTGTTCTAGAAGTTGTCAGTCAACAAGATTCAACCTTAGAATTTTACTCCTATCAGCACTAAAGGGACCTGAGATTATCTAACTCCTACATTTTATAGATGAGAACACTAAAGCTCGAAGAAAGGACCACAAAGAAAGCCTGTGGCAAAATCACACTTAGGTTTTCTGGCTTCTTATTCTTATTCAAAAGCATGAGCCAGACAGACAGAGTCAGAGTCAGACAGACCTGAGTTTGAGTCTCATGTACCAGTTTTGGGCTATGTAACTTTGGGGAAGTGACTTCATCTTTCTGAACCTCACTTTCCTCTTATACAAAATAAGGAAGATGCTGCCCACTTGCAAGGTTCCCCTTGGTACAAGGCATCTGGCACCATACTTAGAACCTGCTCAGGGCTTAATAAACAATAGCTAACATTAGCATTTTACCATTGACTCTTACAGTCAAGTTCCTTATCATCAAGCAAGGTCCACAGCTGGGGGAGGGAGGAAGCAAGGAAACGTGGGAGCAGGGACAATCTCTCCTACAATCCTGACCATATTATTTCTCCAAATATAGTTAGTTGTATACTTGACTTATTTCTTTGCTAGATTACAAACTCCTACATGGCAAAGGCTGTGTCTTAGTTATTTTTTAGGGATTGGTTATTGAGCATTCACTAGGTACCTGATACTGTGCTCAGCAGTAAACATGCTTTTAATTAAGTCCTATGAAGTAGATGCTATAATTATCCCGTTTTTCAGAAACAGAGGCACTGAGAAGTTCGAAAACTTGCCCAAAGCAAGTGGTATGGATGGAATCAAGCCCAAGTTACCTGATTCCAGAATCCAAGCTTTGAACCACTAGGCCATATGGCCTCTCTGACAATATTAGATTGATGCTAGCATGACGTCAATGTCATTTAACTTCCATATTTCCTTTAGCCCTTATTCAAAGTTAGCCAATGTCTTTTTCTGCCATTGATGTTCATTGACTAGGCAAATGAATGGATGCTCCAAGATAATCACTCCAGCAGCCCTACACATGGTAGATCTAAGGGGGTACAACTACAACCATGACCCAGCTCTGAAGAGCGGAGGTCTGTGAACACAGAGTGCACAGTCTATGTTTATGTGCATTTTCCTGGAGAGAAGTTCTGTTTTCATCAAAGTATCAAAGGAGTTTGTACTCCCAATTGGAAAAAGACATTAGTCATTAAAAACAAAAACACGTGAACAGTTACAGGACCATGTGATAAATCCTCTATGAACATGGTCCAGTGATAACAAGAAAGGGAAATAAAGCTTCCCAATTGATCTGGAGTCTAAGTGTCAGGTAGACTCCAGATCAGATAGTTGGCAAACACAGATATTGAGGCTGGGAAGTAGCATGATTAGAAAAAATAACTCTACTCCAGGGAAATATGGAGGACCAGGAGTACGTTGAATTGAGTTGAACTGGATTGAATAGTTCTAGGTCCCTCTGGGTCATGCAGGTGCTACAGAGCTGCCAGGCCCTGACAGGTAAGCCCTGGCCAAGCTGTGAGCCTGGCAGAGATCTCTCCTGACAACATCTTCCCTGGCCTCACATACAGCCCCAGCTCCTTATTCTTGCCAAAGTCCTAAGGGGACTGGATGGGAATTTGGCCAAGCAGGGTCTGGAGAGGTATTATAATCCTTGGGACCCATGGGAGCTTATTGTCTTTGTTCTCTCTACTTCTCCTAGTATCTAAACATACCTTCTGGCAAGGCTGGCGGGAACAAAGCCCACAAAAATCTACATCCTACCCTCAGCCACTGAGTCCAGAGCAGATGCTCCAGGACAATAAAACTACCTGCACGAGGGTCTCTGAGGTGAAGTCCATGCTACAGGAGCTCCTAGACTCCTCCATGTTCAACCAGGGGGAGGTCAGGGCCATCAGGTACATGTCCACTGTGGTGGAGAACCTCAACAAAGCCTTGATCCTCCAGCACAAAGAGAATAGGAGCCTGCAGACCAAGTACAAGCACATGAAAACAGAGATGACCAAAGAACTAAGCAGCCAGAGGCTATACTTCCAGCAATCTCTCCAGGTCCTCGAGAGTAAGAGGGATGCCCTACTAAAGCAAGTAGAAATTCTAGGGGGGAAGTACCATGATCTTCTCCTGATAAAGCATGCCTTAGAGTTCCAGCTGAAGAAGGCTCAGTCTGCGAGAGATCAAGCCAAAGACCAGGCCAAGATCTTTGTTGACTCTCTGGGCACCCCTGAGGAAGAGACCCTGTCAAAGAAAGAACCAGTCATGGAGGAAACCCAACAGGAACCCAAGAAGGAGGAGCAATTGTTTTCACCACTTTCCCTAAGTCCCATGGCCATGGCTGGGGACAGTGGTGCTAGGTCTTCAGCATATCATCCACTTTCCACCATGACCATGCGTTCGAGGATCGCAGATATGTACAGCAGTAAGGATGCTGAAAGTCTTCAGCCTATGTTGCCATCTTCGATGGATCACAAGTTTCCTAAGAAATGGGAAATACCAGTGGCAGAGAGCCTAGGCCACAAAGTCAGAGACCAGAAGGACTTCTTCCAGGAAGCAGCCCAGGAGAAAGAAAGACTCCAAATTAAATCCTGTTTTAGGGAGGAGCGGTCCCCAGAGAGCTCCAGGAAGGTGGCCTCGGAGCACTGGGAAGAGGAACTCAGCTGGGAGAGGCGGAGGCAGCAGTGGCTGGAGGAGGAGGAGATGTGGCTGCAGCGGCAGAAGAAGTGGGCCCTGCTGGAGCAGGAGCACCAGGAGAAGCTGCGGCAGTGGAAGATGGAGGAGGTGGCAAAGGAGCAGCAGCAGAGATTGACCCAATCTCTGCCGGAAAAGGAGGAAGGGAGCCCACGGAGGGAGACAGAGCAGCCAAGGAAGGATGCGGAGAGGATGATCTTCGTGACTACCAGTCGATGGAGGGACTTGGAGAAGGCATCACTGGCACCTCCCCCAAGCCGGGTCCAATCTGCACGCCAAGGCAGGAGGCCACGCTTGCCTAGGTCCCCTAATACTCAGCAGCCCATCCCCAGAACTCAGAGGACCATGAGTTCAGCTGATTTTACCCAGAAACCATGGACCTGCCAGGTTCTCACAAAGCCCAAGAAATCAGCCTCCGCTCCTATCACAGGGGAATCTGACAGAAAGGTGACCCAGCCCCCTTTGCATATATCTCTGCATATATCCCCGGTAAGTCTGAAGGAGAAGGTATACCACATGGACATGGATGCTCTGAGGAAGAATCTGCAGCTCCTGAGTGAGGATGCTGAGCGGGGGCTGCCCCACTGCCTGCGCCGGAAGGCACTGGAGCTCACCACCACCACCATGGAGCTGAACACACTCAGACTGTGGAGCCTGTGCCATAAGTACATCCTCTACAGACGCTTCCAGAGCCTCCGGTAAGTCCTCCCTGGCACCCACCCAGCACCTACCCACACCCACTGCGATGTGCAGGCAAAGCCAAAACCCAAGAGGAGAGGATGGGCATGGGGTGGGGAGAGTCACTCCAGGCCTGGACAAGGTCCCCCTGAGGCCCTGGGCAACCCTGAAGGCGTGGGAGGTGGGGGTACCTACACATCACTCTCCTGTACTGGGCTTTTCCTCTAAGACCGCTTCCTTATTTCTTCCTCTCTTCCTACCCTCTGTCCATAACCCTCCTAATATGCTCCATTTTCCCTGCTTTCTTCCTGTTTCCAGCCTAGCCCCAAGGCTCCACACCTGATACCACCTCCAACTTCTCTGCTTCCTGCTTTCCCGAGCTCCCACCGACCTCTGCTTCTCTTTTTGCTCCCAGTAATTATAACCGTGAAGTCATCTCTGGTTGAAAGACTTGGGGAAAGGAGGAGAGCCCTTCACCCAGTAAATGATTGTCTTCTCTCCCCAGACAAGAAGTAATCAACCACATACAAGCCATGCGAGAAACGGGGACTACCTACAAGGCCCAGAATCTCTACATCTTCCTGGAGAACACTGACCGCCTGCAGGACCTTCGTCTGCAGGCCTTGATGAACAAACAGAAGGAGCTGGAGGAGAAGCGCCGAGAGTGCTTGAGCAGCATGGTGACCATGTTCCCCAAGGTGGGCCTCCTTCCTGGTGACTTGGGCCTCCTGCACTGACTGACCTGGAGTCAGTGGGGCCAGTAGGGATGGGGACAGGAATGTGGGGTGGGGGGATGGTAAATAAAAGAGCAGGTTTGAAGCCTCTGAGCCAGGAAGAGGTGAAGGCAGGAGGCGGCCTGAGTGTAAGGAAAGGCAGCTTTCCGGTATCCATATGTGGAGACCTTCAGTAGAGAGGGATCTTCAAAAAGAGCTACAGAAGAAAGATTCTCCTGGAGGAGGAAGGTATCTGGACCCCGCAATCCCAACTTTGCACTGAGGTTCTCCCTCCCAGGTCCGTCTCTCTGCCCTGCTCCTGTAGGTTCTGGTTGCTCTCCAGGCTCGGCCACAGGTGTCCTCTTCACCCTCATGCTGGAGACTCACTTTGCTTCTCTCTGGGGACAGCTTCCTTAATTTCTGGATGCCAGGTCTCCCTTGTTTTAATGGAGCACCTCCTCCAGTCACTTCCTGACAAAGGGTACCTGGCAGGTAAAATCATTGAGAACTTGGTTGTCTGAAAATATCTTTACTTCATATACACCCTCACTGTTAATTGACAGTTTGCCTGGATATGGAAGGCTAGGTTAGAATTCATTTTCTCTTACAATTTTGAAGACACTGAGCATTGCCTTATAGGTTTTGGTGTTGCTGTTGAGAGTTCAAAGTCATTTTAAGTCCCAGTCTGTTGGGTTTGACCTATTTTTACTCCCTGAGAACTGGCTTCAGTTTCCTCCACTCTT